AAATAGATTTTTAGTTTCAGCCCTTATTCACAGTTATTGGATTGTCTGTTGCTTTTATTGTCATGCTATCTAGTGACATTGCTCACATATAATCATTAAACTTTATACACAGTTGTTGATGACAAACTTACACTAGCAGACAATGGTAAGTATTAATACAATATCACTGTGTATAGACAGATGCTGTTTTGGACTGGAGACAGGTATTATTATCTGAACAAGGATCAATTACAAGTTTAGATACTGTATGTACAAGTATTGTATCTCCAAATGTGAATGGAGGACAAAAATACCTTCTTTATAAAGTATTGCTAACTTACTAAATGAGTTTGTCGCTCATAGCCTTCATTGCTGACATCTGTTGGTTCCATGTCATCAATTGATGCACTTGTCTGTGAGAGAAAAGAAGAAGGGGAAATGTGAATGACTGAACTCTTATTATATCACAGTAGGTTACATTATTCTTACATTATCTGTAGGTGCTTCTCCATCATCAGCAGTATCATTAATTTCTAGTCTGTAATAGTATAAAAGTTAATTGGTTGAATGCTATGCTTACTCAAAGGTCTCTCTGCCATCATTACCTAAAGAAAAACATAATTAGATATCACAAGACTCAATATACACACAGGTGAGGTGACATTGCACGCTCTTTTGCTTTTGCTTCTCAAACCCTCTCCCTCACCTTCATTCTCTCCTTCACTTGTTGGATTAAAAGATCCTCTTTTCTTTAGTTTACATGCAATCAATACTGCAACAATTAATATCAATATTAAAGTTACTACTCCTCCAGTTACTCCTCCTATTACGGTTGTTATATTTATACTTTTACCACTAACTGGGGTTCCTGAGATGAAAAAAACAAAAATAAATATATTAACGATATAAGGTTACATGTACCAGATGGCGTATTAGTGACAGATGAAGAGGAGGAGGAGGAGGGGGAAACAAAGAATGAGGCGTGTTCCATAGATGAAATAGCTATAAAAATAATAATAGCAGACTATTTTACAGCATGATTTATATTTAGTACATGATGATAGTGTTAGTGATACTGTTGCTGTTGAAGACATCAATGGGTCCGACCTGCAATCTAATATCTTATCTAAAGAATATGAAACATAAATAATGAAAGTTATGCTCCATTATACAATGTACCTGTATCACTGCCATTAGTAATGTTTATATATTGTGTAGTATCATTATATTGACAAACAGCTACTTCAACTGACACTGACCATGTTTCATCATACATCAATGATTGAATATTGATCAGTACTATGGTGTCATTGATTTCACTGATCAGTGTATTGTTGATTTCAGATGAATTGAGTTGATTTTTACAATAATCTCTTTGATGTAAAGTATATGTATATGCATCTTCCACAGAAGTCTATAATGAGATTATTAATAATTAGTTCTATTGACTCTGACTTACACTAAATTCCAGTTCAAATATGATTGAAAGAGCGTTACTAGTCACCATTGCATTAGTTATATTAGGAGCTATAAGAGAGACAATGAAAAGAATATTGAAACAGTAACAAACCTGATGTGAATGTAAAGCTTTCAGTTTTATTTTCAAAATCAGTAAATCCATAACTTAAATTAGCAGCTGCTC